ATCACAATCTCCGTGTTTAGTTCGTACAAATTGCTGCGCTACCTATTCGCTGTTTGCAGGAATTGTTTAAATGTTCTATAAATGCCTGGATTGTGTTGCATGGATGTTTTGTCATGTTATGTATCATATTTCTGTACTGTTTTGGAACATATGGTTCGAATGGAAGGAAATAACCGGGGCTCATCAAAATGGCATTTCAATAGAACTGTGATACAGTAATTAATTTACAAGGTGCTATACAATTAGTTAAGTAGTTCAGCTGCCATATTTTTGAACCGCTGAGTTCATGGGGATGGGAGGGGGAGAGCAAAATACCATTGCTCTACGTTGTGAAGGATTTCAAAGGAATTACACCAGTAAAACCTGAGTTTATTCAGCCATTGAAAATATGAACATTACTTAACTGAGTGTTCCCACTTCTGTTTTTGTTTCAGATTTCCAGCATCTGTAGTATTTTGCGTTTTTCTTAATTGTGACACAAGCTGATCTGGAAATATTGGTTTAATTTTGAGATTTTTTTCTGACATGATGTTGAAATGTCAAGGTCTCAGTTGGGTCTTGTAAACCTTCCACATATTAATCAAGCTCCCCCAGGATTCTCTCCTAAGATTTTTAATTAAAATGTTTCAACACAACATCTCGAAGATTGAAAGTACTATCATCCTGCACCCCCTCTCCTTCTCTCAATCTAGCACACTATCTCCTCTGAAGGAGCTGACTTAACGTAGGGGGCTCGGTTCCGCAAATGACTCTTTGGTCCTTTGTCTTTGTAGCTTTTCTTCAGATGTGAACATGGACAGTGATTTTTTTTGTCCCACACTGTTCCATTGCAGAGGGGGAGCGACCACAACAGAGTTCAGTCCTGATATCCACAGGATATCATATTCCTTGGGGGTGGGGGGCTGGAGTGCCACTTCCCTACACCAGAAATACTGAGACCCAATTGGAGTGCTGCCCCTACCCTGCACTGAACCTGAGAGCTTCATAGACAGTGAAGCTTAACGCCAGGCTATTTGGCACAATGACTCACTGAACCATGACCCTGTCCATCTGCCTCTTCTCTGATTATGGTCTGAGTTTTCCCTGGACTGTCTCAATATTTTTCCAGCAATTTCAGGAGATTGTTTTCAAGTTCTTGAGTTCTAAACCCAGGCAAGTCAGTCTTCCTTCTCTCCAGTAGACTCTGGTAGGGGACATAGAGTTTAGCTCCTCTAATTCAGTGATCAGTTTTCCTGCCCGATTTAAGCATCTCAAAGGACAGTGCAAATGAACTATAAGTAATGTGATTACACTTGGTTTAGTTATTTCCTGTTGTGTATGTATGGTATACTACAGTTTACATCGCCATGATATTATTAAATCAGACTGTCATATAGCAAAAGCACTCAAAGAAGCATTTGAAACTACAAGTGCTGATCTTTCTGAACTACCATACAACAATGGGGGCTGAGACACTGTCAGTGTGAGTTATCCATTGGCTGTTTCCTTTGAACATTGTGATAGATCCTGGGTTATAATCATTTTCTTCCAAGACTATAGTACTTCGGTAGGCTGAGAGCTGTCCAGCATGAATCACTGCTGCTGTCGTTCACCTCCAGATAAAATAGAAAATGCAACTATCCTAACATATTTAAAATGTTAAAATATTAAATTATTATATGTAATATCACAAATAAAATCTGGAGCCTATAAAAATTGAAGAGATGATAAATACCTAACCCCGACAACCGAGTCACCAGATGCACATTTGATATTCCTTCTTAATGCTCTATTGTAACTATAAATGTGCCGAATTTTTTTAAATTTATATTTTCTAACTTTAAAGATGTATTGGTTAGTCATTCGGAAGACAAAATGTCATGCAACATTTAAACTACTCGTGCACTCAGCTCGATGCAACAGACACATGACTTTGTGTTTTGTCCACTTTATTTAAATATTTTATGACATTGGGATCCTTACTAGTATCTTCCCATGTTTTCAAATCTTTGTAGAGTAAACGTTATTTCGTGCATTTCATTTCGTGGGACAGAAGACAGTGATTATTGCTCTTTTTAAATGTAATTTTTTGTATCAATTTCCATCCTTTCCTTTCTCTAAAGTAATGTTAACTCATTTTTTTCCCCTCCCTTCTCTATTTCTATTCCCTTGTGCCCTCTGGTATCTCGACTAAGTGCCCATTATTGATAATAAGCCTAAGGTGTTGCCAGGCTCTTCAAAATTCACGTCACAACTGAACTTGATCCTTTCTTCCCTAAGATTTACATGTGCACTTATCTACATAACCACTGGATTGTCAACAGAAGCAAAAGGTCGAGCTGCTTTTCCCCCTCCCTGTTCTATGGGTGCTGAAGATAGTTGCAGGGCTCCTCATCTGTCTTACATTAGGATCAGCTAATTGCACAGACTAAGGTTCGAACATAGTACTTTCCTGCCCTGTATTGCTCAGCTATTCATTGAATTAAATCCAACCAGGATTTTTTTCATTTTTAAAATACAATCTCATTTAGTTTTACTAAAATACATTGTACACAGCAGGGGCAATCTTACAAAAAAAATGTTGTAAAATGACTAACAACACTGGACAATGAACAGGTTGCGCAATAAACTTCAATCTCATGTCAGATTTTTGTATTTTTATTCTTGTACAAATGGAAATGTTCAAGGTAAATGTGTACGGTATGTCATAAGAGCCCGCAGTACATAATAATAATCTTTTAATTTGGTATATTGCCTTACCGTATTGAAACACCTCAAGTTTATTCCAATTTTGACGAGTAAATGAGCAGGTGTTTCTCAGAATTATGTGCACTAAGTGAATGAGAAAATTACATTATATTTTGTTAATAATTCGACAGGCGCCTGGCTCAGTTGGTTTGGACTCTTGCCTCTGAGCCAGAAGGTTGTATGTCCATGTCATAGACTAGGCTGACATTCCAATGCAGTTACATTGTCTGAGGTGCTATCCTTTGGATGAAACATTAAACAGAAGTTGTTCATGTATACGTTCAAGATTCCAAGTACTAATCAAAGGGAATTTCTCACAGTATTCTGGCCGACAATCCTTCAGATAAAATTAGACATTCATGGCTGTTTATGGAACATTGTTTGTGTTTGCCTGCAAATATACAAACACTATACTTTACAGTAAATCCTGTGAAGGGCTTTGAAATGTTTCAAAGACATGATAAGCCACTATGTTAAATGATAGGACTTTTATCATATTACAGTGCTATAGCAGTACTACGGGTGTCGAAGTTCAAAAACATTATTTTACAACGTGGGATCATTTTACAAAATCATTGTGAGGTGACAATGCATAGTTAGCAAATATTTGCTGTAAAACATCTCGAGGCCATTTTACAAAACTGTGCATTGTAAATGGCCTTGTGGTCAACCTATACTTTGCAAATTTAGGCAAATTGCTATGCTAACAATACTGCTGAGCTATTTTGTTTCAAAAGATGGCTGAAGTGCAGGCTTAACATCATTGCTTTAACCCCACACACCATTGAACCAGCAGAACAATTGTGTTAGAAGGTGATATAATTAAAAGTATAAGGACCAATAGACTTCTTTGCAGTTACAAACTCTGGTGTTGCCTCGAGTGCTAAATTATTATGCAAACCAGTACAGTACAGAATGATGCAAATAATACGCATGCATAATCCTCCCACCTTTCTATTTAAAATACTATTCGCTCTATAAAATTGTAATTGATCTCCTGATACTGTACTTAGAAATCCTGTACTTAGATACTGTACTAAGAATCCTTGTACGCATTCGACATAGCACCTTCTTTCTCATTGCTCCCGAGTGAGACATTATTCTACACGTCGGGCGCCGTGCAAATGCAAATTGTTGTTTTCTCCTCCGCAGGACGTCTCAAAAAGTGCTTCGCAGGATATACTGTGGAGTGGAGTGACTGTGTAACTTTGTGACCTGGAGACTGCTTATGAAACTGGTATCCTTGCAGCGATGAAAACAAACACCTTTAACCAGGAGCACTTTACACATTAATCCTGCGCGTTTGCTAAGCGAAACTAAGCTGAGCTCAGAATTAGCCACATTCCGACCCTGATTTTCTGTCTGCTCTTCACGGTGTGCAATATCTTCCCATTTTCGTACCCTCGCCACGGGCTATTTTTGCAGATGAAAGAGAAGGGGGAAAGAGAGACTTTTATTTATAGACAGTCTGTCTGTCTGTCTCTCTCAATCTCTGCCACATGTGTCAAGGACATGTCTGGAAAGGTGCTGCAGGGCGATGCTGTGCTGTGCAACTTCCAGAGTCTCTCTGTCTCCCCCACAGCCTCGCTCCCCCCCTCCTCCTCCTCCTCCTCCTCCTCGTCGGAAGACATTCCTTGCAATTCTCCAGCGGCTCTCAGAGCCCCGGGAAGTCACGGGCAAAGGCAGAGAGGAGCGCGAGCCGCGGCTTCGCTATATGCGCCTCCCTCCCCCCTCCTCCTCCTCCTTCCCGGGCGGTGGGGGTGTGATGGGGGGGGAGGGGGGGGGGGTTTCCACGCAGTTTCAGTGCAACAAAAAACACCGCCCAGAATCGGGCGAGAACCCGCCCCGAACCTGACAACATCGACCATCAGCGACGCCCAAAAGAACGTCGCCTCCTCCCGCTGCGACGGGGCCGGCTCCAGCTCCTGCGTGATGACGAACGAACGCACGCACGCACGCACGCGCACGCACGCGCAGTGAGCCGGCTGGGCTGCCCCGCCCCCGTCCCCTGTCTTTTCTCTCTCTCGCTGGAGCGACGTTGGCGCACGCGCAGTGATCCAGGCTGCCTGCCGGCTCCCGAGTCGCTGGGACGCGGCTCGCTCGCTCGCTCGCTCGCGCGTGCGCGGTCAGCCTGGCTCCTCTGGAGCGGCTCGCTCGCTCGCGCATGCGCGGTCAGTCAGCCGGGCTGCCTTGCCTCCTCTGCGGGAGCTGCTGCTGCTGCTGCTCTCTCTCTCTCGATCGACGCCGCCGCGGTTCGTTTTTTTTTCCCTCACTGTCGCTCTCTGCGGGGGAGGGAGTGTGTGCGCTGGGAGTCGAGTTGTTGCTTCGGCAAAGACAAATAGCAGGAAAAGTTAGGCAGACGGTATCCGCCATTTCAGACCCGTCGGCAGCTTTTGATTTTTCCTCCTCTCTCTCTCTCTCCTCACTCACTCACTCACTCAGCGAGAGGAGGATTGGAAGAAAAAAAAACTTGGTGGAGACGTCGTCCCAACGGCCGTGGACTTTTTTTATTTATTTATCATATTATTCGATGGAGAGAAGGAGAGAAATGTTCAAGTGAAGAGAGTTCGGGGAGGCGAAAAGGAGGAGGTGGAGGGGAGACCTCGCGAGGCGGAGCGGCGGTTGTCCACGTATGTTGGTGTCTGGCTGGTGCCGAGGTGCTGGTCTTGTCTGCTGTGAGCCGAAGCGGGGGGAGTGCGAGGCGAGCCGGGCCGGGCCGGGCCGGGCCGGGAAGCGAAAGCCTGGCAGCGACCATGTTGGGTAAAGGGGGATTTTTTTCTCCCCTCAGGGATCGTTATGTCGGATACAATAGGGAGTGATCCGAGGGGAATTGGGATCAGACAGTGCAAACGCCAACAGCAGCCCGGGCCGCCCTTCTCTTACCCCCTCTTTTAGTCTGTAACTCTCTCTCTCTCTCTGTGTGTGTCGGGCATGTTTCAGCTCATCTGCTTTTTTCTCTCTCTCTCTCTCTCTCTCTCCCTGTTCTGTGTCTCTCCCTCTCTCCCGCCCTCTCTTTTTTTCCAGGCCGGTAGGATGCTCCGTTGACCTGTCCAGACCAGTAAGGCCCGAAATGGGAATCAACCGACTACTGTACCTAACGAAATCCTTCCCTAACGATGTTGAACGCCTGTCGGTGTCGGGGGGGGGGGGGCAAAAAAAATAAATCAAATCATTTCGCTTTTGTTTCTTTTTCGATTCGCCCTTTCTTTTTTTTCTATTTCAATTTTTTTTATTATTATTATTTTATTTTTTAAAAAAAAGTCGATCCTGGATATCTCTCTTTTTTTAAAAAAAAAGAAAAGAGAGTTGGATGGTCGTGAGGGCCCTCTATGAAAATGCCCAGTAGTGATGAAGTGATAAATCTTGTGCACTTGGTGGATTGCGATGTTTAATTTCCCGAAAGTGTATTCCTTAAAAAGTACCCCGAGCGTGAAAAATACATCGAACGATTACGATTAATTTATCGGTTTGTTGTTTTTTTTTGGGGGGGGGGAGAGGGGGGGGGGGGGGAAACTAAAATATTTGTGGATCTAGAAAATGTATGCCCTTGAATATCAGCTGTGCAGTCTCCACGCATAAAATGTTTGCTTTTAAAGCATTTGCAGCCTATTCGGGTCTTTTACCACACATCGTGATTGTGGTGAGAGAAGCAGAGGGAATTTACACGTCCTTTCTGCGGTGAAATTGCCGCAGCTATGCGTGTAATTTACTAAATGCGGTTCGTTAGATGATACAGTCCTATTTTTATAGTATATGGGACACGCTGCAAAATCGAGATCTGTTTAAGCGCAGTGAAATTCGAAAAGGTGAACTCGCTGCATTCAGTAAGTTTTGTTCCAACTGATTTTATTTCGTGTCAATTCAAAGGTTAGGGGTAATGCTCGGTTGTCTGCGTGTGAAAATGTGCCCAGGGATTTAACACTTCCAGGAACGTGTGAATTTTTAAATGTTACACAACTTTACATACTTGATGTAGAACAATTTTGAAGTTCTGCTCGAAATGTTGAATGACGTATGCCAAAGCAAGATGCTTGGTGACATAGAATGAAACCTTATTTGTTAAAACAAATCTGGCGGAGGGGGCACTGCATAATTCAGCCTCACAAATAATAAACAGAATACTGCATGTTCGTGTTGTCATAACCAACACTTCACTTGTAATGCTCTGTTTATTATTTTAGTTTGTTCCGAGTTTATATTTTCTGATGCTGTGTAGATGAGATTTCCACTTGGTTATTATTGCCAGGTAGTTTGTAAGCTTTTAAAGTTAAAACATGTTCCTCCCAATTCCCCAGTTTAAAACATGGAAGTGAGATACACAGCATAGGTTTGCCAGTGGTGAAGTGCTACAGTTAGTACTGAGTTGACTGAAAATAATCCCCATTTTTGAGTATTCGTTTGTCAACATTTATAATAATGAATTCTTAAACATGATGCATCAGTTATTTATCTAATAAAGTTGTCCTGTATAAAATGAATAACATGATGAATCTCATACAGTTTTTAAAGCAATTCATATATTTTTGACTTGACTTTTTTTTCCTATTTTAAACAGAAGTGATATTTTGAGAAACTATGGAAATAAATGATCGGAGCAGAAAAGTGCATTTCCAGTGGAAATGGAATTTAAGTTGAACTGACCTTGTGCAGATGCAGTTACCAAATATGTGTGGGGACTATTGAAAAATAAGGAATCCTTCCCAGTACCATCTTCAAATGTAATGGGATGAGTGGAACAATATGATGGCAAAAAACAAAGAACTACGTCCCCCAACCTACAATATTAGTGTGGTGGGATTATCAGGGACAGAGAAGGAGAAGGGGACAAGCGGTGTTGGAAAGTCATGTCTGTGCAATAGATATGTGCATCCAAAAGCTGATGATTATTACCCAGAGCATACCTCTGTGCTTAGTACAATTGACTTTGGAGGACGTGTTGTCAACAATGACCACTTTTTGTACTGGGGTGATGTAAACCACACAAGTGAGGAAGGATCTGAATATAAAGTACAACTGATTGAACAAACTGAATTTATTGATGACCAAACCTTTCTGCCTCATCGAAGTACAAACTTACAACCTTATATTAAACGAGCAGCAATGTCAAAATTGCAGTCAGCTGAAAAGCTCATGTACATCTGCACTGATCAGCTAGGCTTAGAGCAAGACTTTGAGCAGAAACAGATGCCAGATGGAAAGGTGACCATTGATGGTTTCCTCCTATGCATTGATGTGAGCAAAGGTTGTAATAGGAAGTTTGATGATCAGCTGAAGTTTATAAATAACCTTGCTGCTCAGCTAGCTAAAACTAAAAAGCCAGTTGTAATTGCTGCAACAAAATGCGATGAATGTGTGGATCATTACTTGCGGGAGGTACAAGCTTTTGCTACAAACAAAAAAAACATGCCTGTTGTAGAAACTTCAGCACGTTTTCACGTGAATGTTGACTTATGTTTTGCTGCTTTAATCCAGATACTGGATAAAGCGCGGGGCAAGACGAAGATTATTCCATATTTGGATGCTTATAAGCAGCAAAGGCAGCTTGTTGCTGCATCGGCAGACAAGTTTGAAAGGCTGATTGTTCATACAGTAAAAGATTATCATGCACAGTGGAAAACTGTTAGTAATAAATTGAAAAACCACAATGATTATGAAGAGTACATAACCCTGGAGGGGACAAAGAAAGCAAAAAATACATTTGCTAAGCATATAGAGCAACTTAAACAGGAACATATCAGAAGACGACGAGAAGAATATATTGCTTTGTTACCAAAAGCCCTCAGTGAGCTTCTCTCTGACCTTGATGAAATTGAACACTTGAACTGGTCAGGGGCCCAGAGTATGTTGGAACAAAGTCCAGACTTTCCTCTTTGGTTTGTTGTGCTAGAAAAAACGCCATGGGATGAAACCAACCACATAGATAATATAAATGATAAGAGACTTCCTTTTGATCTGCTCAGCACATCAGAGTCAGAAAAGATTTATCACAATCACGTGCAGCATTTGATTGCTGAGAGGCGAAGGCTTGAAATGAAGGAGAAATTTAAGAAACATCTTGAGAAAATACAGTTCATAACACCTGGTAAACCCTGGGAAGAAGTTTTGTGTTTTGCCATGGACAATGAAGCGTACAAGTTTATAACTGATTCTGATCGGAGAGAGGTTTATGGTAAATATCAAAGAGAAATGGTTGAGAAAGCAAAAGAGGAATTTCAAGAAATGCTTTTTGAGCACTCTGAGCTTTTTTATGATTTGGATCTAAATGCAACACCCACAGTGGACAAGATGAGTGAAATCAACAATGTTCTGAATGAAGAACCTAGATACGGGGCTTTAAATAAACTTGCACCAGATCGTGAATCACTTTTGTTAAAACACATTGGATTCGTGTATCATCCCACAAAAGAAACTTGTCTTAGTGGCCAAAATTGTATGGACCTTAAAGTGGAGCAACTGCTTTCTACCAACCTCATACAGTTTGACCACAGCCGCCCAAATATGTATCAGGATAGTGCCAATATCGACAAGCTGAGTCTTGTCCTCCTCGGCAGGGATGGGCTTGCACAAGAGTTAGCCAATGAGATTCGAGCACAATGTACCGATGATGAGTACACATTGGATGGCAAGATCTATGAACTGGATCTTCAGCCATTAGATCCAAATACTCCTGCTTTGGGTGGGCTGACTACTGCAGGTCAACCTCACGGGTGTTTCTGTGTGTATAACTCGTCTGAGTCGCTTAATTGTGTATCAGAATGCATTGAGCGAATAAGAAATGAAACCAACGTGAACAGGAAGGGTAGATTTATAGCCAATTTTCCATTTACACTTATATTGGCAAATCAGAGAGACATTGGCAAAAACTTACCCATTCTAAAGCTACAGGGACAACAGCTCGCAAATAAGCTGCAGTGTCCTTTTGTTGACGTGCCCCCTGGAACCCATACCCGCAAATTTCACGAATTCCAAATCAAACAAGCTCTTCGAGGTCTGCTTGAATCGTTGAAACATAATTTGAACATGGTGAGCCCTGTGCCCAGTATTAAGGATCTCTCAGAAGCTGACTTGAGAATTGTGATGTGTGCCATGTGCGGTGATCCGTTCAATGTTGACTTAATCCTTTCGCCATTCCTGGAATCGCATTTCTGTAGTGCTGCTCAACCTGGCCACACTAATTCACTATTACTTGAAAAGATTATCGGCGAAAAACGCAAAAGAATCCAGATTACAATCCTTTCGTACCACTCTTCCATTTGTGTGAGGAAGGATGAGTTAGTACATGGATATATTCTGGTCTATTCAGCAAAGAGAAAAGCATCTATGGCAATGCTCCGGGCCTTCTTGGCAGAAGTTCAAGATGTTATTCCCGTTCAGCTGGTGGCAGTCACCGACAGTCAGGCTGACTTTTTTGAAAATGAAGCAATCAAGGAGCTGATGACTGAGGGTGAGCACATAGCAACTGAGATATCTGCAAAGTTCACTGCTATATATTCTTTATCACAGTATCATCGACAGACCGAGGTCTTCACACCATTCTTCAGTGAAGCTTTGGAGAAGAAAAATAGTATTGAAAATTCATACATGTGTGACAGCACCAGAGAGTTTGCAAACACCAGTGAAGACTTCTCCTTGTCTCCTCGGGCAAGTTCTCCAGCTTTCAATTATTATCCGGATTCGGAGGACGATAGTGAAGCACCTCCACCTTACAGCCCTATTGGTGACGAGGTCCAATTGCTTCCATCCTCCAGTGATCGCTCTAAGCATCGATCAGATTTTGAAGGAAATGAATATCCAATGCCTAGCAGTCCAATTGTTAATCATGACAACCACAAAGTGCCTCCTCCCATTAAACCCAAACCTATTATTTTGAAGCACGATGTGAGAAAACTTGATCCAAATCTTGTAAAAACCATTGAACAAGGCATTAGTAAGAACCCAAAGAAACACAATCGTGGACCTTTTGGCCTTTTGGATGATATGGATCCTTCTGACAATTATTCCATCCCAAGAGATGCTCTAATAAAACCCAAAGCTGAGGACGATGACATATACTCTACCCCCCAGGATTCCAAGCAAACAAAGATTGCAAGAAAGCCAAATGTACCAGGAGGAAGTCATTCTCAAGGTGATGGAGAAAATGGCTTGATTGATCGTTTATCAAAGCAGCCAATGATACGGAAGCCTTCAAAGTATAAGTACAGGTCTAAGACGCTCATTAGTAAGGCCCGATCCTATTATGGAAGGAGAGAACGGTCTGATATGAGTGATGAGGAATCGGTGGCTTCCTCATGGAAACCAAAGAAGGGAAAACCTAACCGTGGAAGTGAGGAAGATCCTTTACTGTCCCCTGAAAATTGTGGGAAAGCGGGGATTGATAATCCCGCTATTGCATCTGATCCAGAAGTTGAAGAATCCAAGAGAAATCGAAAAGATAAGAAACCAGCAAAAAGAAAGGTAAACAAAAAGGTGAGTTTGTTTTATAGTTTACATTTTATATTGCTTGCAGATGGTAATTTCATTATAAATTCTATATCTTGCATAATATGCAGTGCTATTTTGTTGGAAATAATTTGAAATTGTTACAGCAAAATTTTTCCTCAACATTATCAGATGCACATTACTAAAGGGAATGTTTGAATTGGTATTCAGAAAATATTGTCTGTAATTAAATACAGTATGTGATTTGTCGACTAGCTTCAAAACACGTTTTAGGTGAAGTCCCTCGCCCAACTATTCCAGATGTGTGCACGAGAAATAGACTGACCTTAGTTAAAGCTGGAGTATCAGGTTTTGTGTATCTGCTTTTCATTTTCATGCATCAGGTTTGGAATCAACAAACTGCTTATTTCTACACATGATCTAATTTAGATTATCCATCAACATTTAAAGAGAGATTTTAGAGCAACAATTAGAATGTGTTATGCATAGAAATCATTGCAAATACTCACCAACTATTGTTCTTACTGACAAGCCTCTCCCTTCCCCTGCTGATTAGAGTCAGTCCAGACCAGTGTCTACAACATGTTAAATGTTCCATATTTAAGGTGTAGTGAAGAGAGTTGCATTTGTAGATACTTTTCAGAAAGTTAATGAATACTGTCATACCCCTTCAAGGGTTGCAAATAAGATTACAAAGCATTGTTTGGAATCCTTAAATAAGGTAATGTTTTAGTTCACCTTGTGGTTTCAGATTCAGATTGTTATGAACATTGTCTATTGGAAAGCTAAATCAATTGACAATTTTGCTTTTTGTACATATTTTTCAACAGGATAAATCAAAGGTGCAGAAGCAAATACCACCACCTAGAAGAAATTGGGACAGCACTTACTTTGGGGTGCCCCTTCAAGACATAGTAACTCCTGATAAACCTGTGCCATTATTTATTGAAAAATGTGTGGAGTATATAGAATCTACAGGTATGACATTTATGTAAATACTTATTGCTGGTATTTATTAGTATTCACCATATGCAAAATTCTCTTTTTCATCCAAACTCTCCAGTCTCTGTCCCAATTTCAAACTGCCCTTCCTCTCTAAAGTACTGAAATGTAGAGTTATTTCTCAGTTATGCTCCCACCACTTTTCTGTGAGAAAATGTTCTCCCACCATCCTCCAGTCCGTTTTTTGTTCTGGCCGGACATAGCACAAAAACCGCTATGGTCAAAGTCACAAATGGCACGACACTAAAACTCCGGCTAACTGGACTAATGGGAGGGAGATCTAGTCAGGTGAGCCGGAATTTTGTGCTCGTGAAATTATAATGCCCGTAGTGACAATGTAATTGTTTGAATCCTGTGAGCAGAAGATAGCGCATAAGTGGGATTCAAATTGTGATTCAGTCTATCCCTGGCCACTGTGAAGACCAGCAAGTGCAGTGAGGCTGCTCAGTGAGGCATTGGTGTGTCAGGAGAGGTGACTGACAGGAGTTTACATTCGTGGAAATTAAACAAAACAAAAATGTTTCAGGTCTGATTTGGCAAGGCTTGAATTCCGGATACCTGAAAGTTCACTGTATTTCATTTTGGGGCCAGAAAAACTCTTTGTCTTCTTCTCATCCTTTCTGCTACATTCACAATCTTTGACCACCGCATCCTCCCTTCACCGCCTTTCCTCCTTGTTCTATCTCTAATGCACTGTATTGTAATGATTTCTCTCTTATGTACCTCATTTCACATTGCTCGGTGCTCTATCCTTGTTCCCCTCTTTCTCATCTATATGCTGTTCCTTGGTGACATCATTCACAGCCATGGGATCATCTTTCACATGTATACTGATGTTGCCCAACTCTACCTCTTTGTCTCCACCCTCAACTCCAGGACTATATCCAGTGATGTATCTTCCCTTATTACCCACTTTGATTTCTACTACATTTCAGTGAAGCACTTCTAAACGCTTACTAGGTGAAAGGCTTGTTCTTCGGTGGTTTATTTTAGTTTAATTGGTTTAAAATGTGTGCCTTTTGATATAAACCGTGGTTTGACAAGATGCAAGAAAAACCTATTGTCAGGTAGTGTCAGCATGTGTTTCTTTATTTTTCTGTCTGGAAGAGCAGGTGATGATAGTAAACTGTGCAAGTCTGATGTCCAGGAAGTTTCATTCCTGCATGGGAATGCTGCCCAAGCGTGGCAGGAAACTGCATTGTGGAGTTTGTAATGGTGAAGCTTCTTTTGAATCAGTTTAGTGTTAAGATGCCAGTTCTGGAAGCTTTATACAGTTTCACTTGATTCTAAAACATCCTGGTTAGAGTAATAGGAAGTCCACACCGTTTTAATGAGATAAAGCAGAATTTCAAAAATATTGTTTCTGAATTTTTAATTTTTCATGGATTAAAAGAATGTAATGTCCTGTATAGTGTCTGGGACATCTTTCCGACGTGATGGACACTCTAGAAGTATAATTTGTTGTTGTAACAATTTTTATCATTGCTTTATGCAGAAAGAATAGAAAGTTAATGCATTGCTTGCATTTCTCTTTGCTTTTTTTTTGTAAATCCATGGAAAGTATTGAGGTTTTTAGTTTTTTTAACCAGAGATTCACAATGTCTGTTCTTATGAAAGAACAGTGCAACATTTGTTGATTTAATTTCATCCTGAGATACAGTAAGCATCCTTAACGGATGAGGATAGACAATGAATGTCTGTGGGCAACTTCTCTGAGGATGGGTATAATCTAATGCAGAGATTGAGCTGCATTGCTGGAGGTGCCGTCCTTTAAATGAGATGCTAAACCAAGGTCCTATCTGTCTGTTTTGATGGATGGCATCAGGTTGAAAGACTCTTAATTGCTTCAAAAGTTGAGGTGAAAAGGAAATCCATGTATTCAGTTTTATTTTAGCCCAGAATTCATTTTACTTTCTGCTTGACACAAGCCACATACAGTGGGGGAGAAGAGTGCAGAATTGTTCCTAGTTCTTAATTGTGATGAGCAATATTGTAATCGTTAGACCACTTGTAGCTTCAGGGATATGTATGCTTATTGGGCCATAGTTTTTTTTTTGCAATTTTCAGCTAATACAGGAGTAGCTTTATTATTGCATTAGTAATCCTATTCAACTTGGAACAAAACTTTTTTAAAAAAATATGCTCTTTTTATTCTTATTATTACCAACTACACAACTCCAGGTCCCATTGTCTATTTTGGCAGTGAGATTCCATTGAAAATTTGAAAACTCTCATAATCACTTTTTTTTAAAGCCTTCTTGACATGACTTACTTGAGATGGTTACATCATAGATGAGAGAAGGCCAGATTTTATTTCAACAAATTAGAATGCCCATTGAAAATTATTTTAAAATCAATACTTCTTACTGTCTGCTTATCTGATATCTGTACTAATTATCAATATTAAAAAAAGGACTCTTGACCTTATCCTGTGCAATTTGGGCAGGAAGCAGTTTGTTAATCAAGTGTTGCAATGGACTTTATTGCTGGAAAGATATTTTGCAGAATAGTGAGAATGCTATTTCTGGTTGTAATTTGTGTAATTTTATGATTAATAGTAGATATGCTCATAAAAATTATGTGAATGTATTTTGCTTCATTGCTGCTTAATATCCCTTTTATGCTGTTACCAACCCAGACGCTCCTTCTAACTTTGTTGTTTTTGTTGATATGGGAAACTAGAATTATATTACCTCCTCTGAATCACTCTTGCATGGTGTTATTAAAGAACTTTGATAACTGATGCAGAATGACAGTAAATATTATAATAATAATATTAAATAATATGAAATAACTAAGACATTTTAAACTCAATTTTTTTGTCTTTAAATGTTAATTTTTAATCTTTTGCAGTAAAACAAGTTATTATAGGTGCATTGTTTTACGAATTGGGCTCAAAATTTAATTTAATGACTCAAATTTACTATAAGCTGGACAGTAACCAGCATCAAAATTATGCTAGAGGTATTGTAGAAAATTACAGTGATTTTGAAATGGTAAAGTTAGATTTCAAAACTGGTAAGCATTGTGTTGCAAATTGAATGCAATAAATCAGCAGTGATCTTACTGAACTCCCTACATTTCTGTTGATTTGAACTTTTTGGGAAAATCCCTCTATGGTGAACAAAGAGAGTTGACTTCAGAATGTCAAACAGTGGGATTTAATTTGTAATATTTGTAAAAGCGTTTGTAAACTGCAAATCTCTGTGGGTATTGATATCGCTCTGCGCTCGGTCACCGAGCTCTGGTTTGGTTTTGGATTGTGGCCAATCGAGATTCCTGACATCCAACTGGAAATTGACATCCCAGCAGAGTTGCAGCTTTGCTATTTACAAATCCTTTTACAAATATCACACATTAGCTTCCAGCGTGGTGTCTAAACAAGTACTTTTTATATAATAATATAGGTGTTCTTACTGAAAAATGCATTCTAATCAAAACATAATTCAATTTGTTGAAAGCTGAAATTAAACATTTAATATAAATCTCAAGCAATTGGCTCCCTTAATGGTTCGCTGGATAAATGCTCTGTGTAGTGTGACACTGAGCTTAACAGACCCGGATCAATATCTTGTCTGTGCAGAGATAGACTATTTCTCTGAGGTTGTGTTGGGATGTTGTGATTGACTTTGCCTTGTCAAGGAGGTTTGGAGGGAACTCGTCGGTATTACTGCTTCTAGTTTCTGATTAGTAACCCCGCTAGAATTATGTGTGTGACAGAACAGGATGCCCTCTGCTGTTGTTTTTAGTCTGTTAACACTAAATGCCTGGGCTTGCATACAAAAATGGTCATTCAGATGAAGTACATGAGGGTTGTCACCATGGAAGTGGTGAATAAAATGGTCTTTATTAAATATGGGGCAAGAGTTGACTTTATAACTCGGCTTCATAATTTTTTTATTACATTTTTATTATTTTATTGTTTGATTTCTAAAGCTACAGTGGTGAACTATAAGTAAATTTGTAAGGAGGTGGGATTATCTGATGATAATACTCGTCAACAATGGCAGGATAGATAATAAGTAATAACCCTTGCATTTATTTTAGCATCTTATTAGGTCGTTGAGACGTCTCAAAAAGTGTTTCACTGAATATACTGTAAAGTGCGTTGATTGCCCACTTTGTGGACATATCAAATGAGCTTTTGGATTATTAAAGTTTAAAAATAATTCACTTTATGCCCTATTGTATTATTATCATGCGCACACATCACAGGTGTGAATAAACCAAAATCAAAGAGGAAGTCTTTGTGACAATGTTACTTTTACAACAATAACTTGTTCTTTTCCGGTCCTGCTTTGTAACTGGCGAGCATGTTGTAGGTTTCCAAGGTGGGGGCTTATCTGGTTGAGGTTTAGTCAACTTTACTTTCTGAGGGGAATCCCACTTGTAATATCATTTTTAACTTTGACTTTTCATTGGGAGTTAACTTCTCAACTGCTATTATTTATTTGAAGTTAATATATTTCCATTTGCTTTTCTTTCTCTTAGTGTGCTTATAGATACATTTTCTTGATTCCAATTTTAGTTTTGAATTTGGACAGATGCCAATATTTATTTTACCTTTTTTAACCACATAACTGGCCGACTTCCCAGTTGGTCATCTGTTCTTATGTAATGTGCATGAGAAGTAGGCAGGCAGCGCTTTTAATGTCAAAGGTTCTGCCTCTGCATTCACAGCGTGCCTGAACTGATGTCTTTGATGACCTTATGACATAGAAATTGCCAATTTGTGTAGTTCAATACATCATCAATATGTTTAAAAAAAAATTTAGTGTTGGGAATTCATTTTTTCCTTGATGTTGAGAAAATTGGAAACCAGCAAGCCTGGCTGTAGGGCATAATAATACTCTGTGCTATTTTCTCATTGAGTTTTATAATACTTATTAAAACATTTTTGCTTTGCAACATTTATGCTTCTGTAATCTTAGAAAAGTATGTGAAGCAAAAATTGATTATTTCAGGATTAAAGCAAA